AAGTCGGGAAAGGAATCCCGCAAAAACATCCAGCCGGGAAGGAATCCCCGCAGAAGGACATCAAGCCGGGAAGAAATCCCGCGAAGAAATCAAGTCAGAAATGATTCTGCATCACATCAAGTCGGGAAGGAATCCCGGCAAAGACATTACACAGCCAGGGAGATGAATCCCATAAAGACATCAAGCGGGAGAATCCCGCGAAGAAATCAAGGCAAGCAATTGAATTCTGCTCAACATCAAGGCGGGAAGGAATCCCGCAAAGACATTCAGCCGGGAAGGAATCCCGCAAAGACATTCCAAGCCGGGAAGAGAAAATCCCCAGCCGAAGAAATCAAGTCAGAAATGAAATTCTGCATCAACATCAAGTGCGGGAAGGAATCCCGCAAAGACATCCAGCCGGGAATGAATCCCATAAAGACTCAAGCCGGGAAGAATCCTGCGAGAAATCAAGGAGCAATGAATTCTGCATCAACATCAAGTCGGGAAGGAATCCCGCAAAGACATAAAGCCGGGAAGAAAGTCGGGAAAGAATCCCGAAGAAATCAAATCAAAAATGAATTCCACAATCAGCATTAAGTCGGAATTGACTTTTGCCCCAACAGCAAGTTGGAAATAAAATCTGCACCAAGTCGAAAAGGAATTCCGCACCAACATCAAGTCGGAGATGAATTCTGCACCAGCCGAGCACGAAGTTCGCATCCCGGAAGGAACTACGGAAGACCTGATTCTCTCCATCCCCCGAAGAGTTCTTGGAGATACGTAGGCAGCCGTAAAGGCGCGGTCACAAACATGAGTTTGCATTTTTTCTTTGCCAAAATAAAAAAATATAAAAAAATAATAATAAAATTAATAAAAAAAGAGAAGAAAAAAGAAAAAAATAAAAGCATGGAGTTGAAAAACCCGAAAGGACGGCTTCAGGCAAGAATTGAGCCCGCTAGGCTGAAAACCCGAAAGGGCGGTCTAGGCAAAAGTTAGGGCAAAGAGCCTGCTAAGGTCGAAAACCCGAAAGGGCGGCTACTAGGCAAAGTTAAGGCAAAAAAAAAAACAAAACAAAAACAAAAAAAAACAAAAAAGTGCTTTCATGGATTCTTTTAGAGAGTCCATTTTTTCATAGGATAAATAGCAAAGTATGTCCTTAAAATAAAAAAAAATCCCTTTCAAAGGTCTCCTTGGGAGTATATAAATCATTTTTTCCAGGAATCACTAAAATCAAGTCTCCATCACCAGTGGTCATTCCACAAACGAATCACAAAAATCGAGTCATTCTCAAAAAAGGTTCGTTTTGAAAGCGTCATTCTTTGAGTCATTCCTCAAAAAAAAAAAAAGGAAAAAAAAAGAGAGAGAGGAAAATGTCAATTCAATCTCCGGGGTTTCCAAAACAACCCTAAAAAAAATGTGTCAAACATAATCGTTGAGGGGTAATTCTTTAATACCTCATCTCCACTCGGACCATCGTTATGTCATCCACATTGTTCATTTCCTCAGTCATATAGTGGCTTTGTTTCTCTTTTGGATTCCTCAATCGATTTGGACAGATACAACACCAATGTTTTGAAAGTGTTCCATAGGTCAGCACCATTCTGGGGGCAAGAAGTGATGTAAGAACCTTCACCATTCTCCCATCACAGAAGTAATCACGGAATTTTTAGTCTTTCATTAAGAAGAAATTCTATTTCGGCTAATAAGGGCACTCAAGTTCCTCTCAAGCAGGGGGCAAAAATCTCGGATTCAGGGGCAAGTGTTATAAAAAAAAAACAAACATACACAACCCATGGTGAAACCCAACCATCGTCAATCTATTTTACACAAACCCAGGGTAGAACCCGGTTGATGGTTAACCTTTTTCTACATAAAACCTAGGGTGAAACCCTAACTAATAACCAACCATTTTTCATCCAAAATCAAGCCATTTGATCATTTCGGCTTTAGGTGGACCCTTGGCTCTCAAAGAAAAAAACAAAAATAAAACAAATCTTTTTTCAAGCCCTCATTAAGAGGCAAAATATTTTTTTCAAGTCCTCTAAGAGGCAAAACAACATCTTTTCAAGCCCTTCACTAAGAGGCAAAACATCTTTCCAACCTCATTAAGAGGCAAAATCTCTCTTCAAGCCCTCATTAAGAGGCAAAAACATCTTTAAGTTGCAAACATAAATCCACGCATTTGATCATTTCATTTCCAACGGCGGGGTTTCGTCATCTGCCCATCCTCAAAATTTGCTCCTTCAGACAGCCACTGGCTCTCATAAATCATTTTTATGATAGCCAGTGGGGGGCCAACTGTGAATACTCAAATTTTGAGGCTTAAAAAGCCAATTTTTCCGAACTGCAAACAGTTCGGCCGGACCAGAGGCCATTTTGGAAATTTATCGGAAGTATGCCAATATGATACTTGAAACGTCCGAAAAATCACGAGGATCACAGAGCTGGTACCGGAATATTTTTTGGAGGTTCGGAACTCCCGGAAAAATCTCCGGAACGAAAAATAGCAGAACCATTGGCCTCGGTGGCTCGGGCCGCCGGACCCGGTGGCCCAGCCGCCGAGCTCAGGCAGCCCAGGCCGCCGAGCTCCGGCTGCCCAGGCCGCCGAAACAGTCCGTTTCGCCTATAAATACAGCCCCGGTGTGACCTTTCAACTCACTCAGTCTATGTTGATGGACGCTCCTTCTCCCCTACGCTCCTTGCGTTTTCTTTTACTCCTTTTCTGCATTTTTAATTTAGCTTTTATTGCTTTCTTGATTTAATATTTGGCCACTTAAATTAAATTAATTCTAAATTAATATTCCCCAAACGCCCACATGCCGGCCTGGCCTGGGCGGGCACACCCGCCCAGACCAGGCGGGCATGCCCGCCCTCAAAGGCGGGCAGGGGCGCCCGAGATCATGTTTTTTCTTATAAAAAATGGCTCTGGGGCTCCGTTTTGAGACACTCAGTCTGTGTTAACGGACGCTCCTTCTCTCTACGCTTTTTGCGATTCTTTACTGCTTTCACTGCTTTTCTGCATTTTAGTTTTAGCTTTAATTGCTTTCTTGCTTTGTTTAAGTGGTTCATTAAAAATCAAATTAATTAATTACCTAACGAGGAGCTTTAACCTGAGTTAAGAAGCGGATCGACGATTAAATCAGGTAACCGAACTAAACTCTTGCCTATTCAATTTTAGCACTGCATGCATGCTTCTTTTCTATCCTAATATTTCTATAACTGCATAAATGCATTATGACATCTTTAGGCATAGTAATTGCCTCAATTAAAATAAATTTAGGCTAAATTCCCGGTTAATAAATAATCGTAGGTAATTAAAGCTGAACACCGACAATATTGGCTTTAAAATACCTATGTTAATTCAATAGCTAGTATAATCGCCGTTATTTCGAACAAAATCTGGCTTAAGTCCAATTAAGTCAATATTGTGGCCTAAAAAAAGCTTTAATTCAAACACGTTATTCCTGGCAAATAACATTTTGGCAACAAATTGCCCATGGTTCAATCAATTTTTGGCAAATGAATTGCCTATAAATTAGATTAACCACTTTTTAGTGACAAATCGCTTAAATTACAATTTTTTAGCTAAAAGCCTTCACACTATTGCTTTTGGCAAATAAATTGTCTTAAGTCAATCAATTTTGGTGACAATCGCCCAATCATCAACTTTTGGCAATAAATTGCCTATATCAATCTTTTTGGCTAAAAGCCTTAAAATCAATCATTTTGGCGACAATCGCCTAAAATCAATCATTTTGGCAATCAAATTGCCTAAATAATTCAAATTGCCTAATCACTCTTTTTGGCTAAAAGCCTTTAAAATCAAGCTTTTGGCGACAATCGGCCTAAATCACATTCAATTTTGGCCAACAATTGCCTAAATCAATCCTTTTGGCTAAAGCCTTTAACAACATTTTTTGGCGATAACGCCTAAATCAAATTCAATCAAATTTTTTTTGGGCAAAATTGCCTAAACAAAATGCACAAAAGCATACACACACTCATGCTCTCAAGCATATCTATTCAAAGCCCTCAAAGAAGGCCTATCGAACTTACGTTGGACTTTGATCTTTTTTTTTCCCAATTTTCCCCAAACAGGAAGTACGTAGGCACGTTCGGGATATTAACCCCGAGGCCGGCAAGTTCGAAATCACATAACATTTTTCATTGGTCCAATTACCTTGCCAAAGCATTCATTCATGTTAGTTTATCAGCATGAACATAGTCTCGGGATCCATCTCGGGTTTGCAAACCATGCCATTAACATTGGATAAATTAGCCTAGACTTAGGTTAATTAAAATTGGAGTCCTTAGGGTTTTTCCTAGTTTTTACCCTTAAAATAATTAAACAAGGGTGGCAGACTCATACATTTCACGCGCATTCTTCTTTAGTCATATGCATCACTATGCTATGATTATTTTGGGGGAGGGAGTTTCACACTGTTCAACCAAACTAACATCATTTCTTTCTCTGTTGCAGGGTCATGTCATACGGAGTATGTATCTACCTGGGGTTCCGAGCGGTGACTCTCCTGGCCGAGTCTAGGACGGTCCCTCGTTTACCTGGCCCCATTTTGCCATCATACCTATGCAGTTGGCGAGGATCCGAGTTAACAGAGGGCTCCTTAACGACCGGAGCTGTCCGAATGTAAAGTACAAACAGAACCTTCTGAACACTTAGTAGCTTTTTCTCCCTTTTATTTTAATGCACAACAATTACGATCTTATTTCTTTTGTTAGCTGTTCTTTGACTCTTGTCGGGATTGCAGAGCCTGGAGGACCGTACCCGGGCCGGGAAGGTGCTTGAGTTGCACGATCAGTCGAGGTGCTGATGCGAGGTGGTACTGGGCTGATCAAGTACTTCCTCGGAGAGAGAGTTTTTTCGACACTCGGGGCCCCAGCACAGCGGAAGGGTGCCTCAATGCCCCTCCTCGTCACATGTGTCTCCTGGAAGGGCTTGACCGGAGGATCTGGAGGTGGAATTCAGGGCTTCTCGGCGAACAATTTCTGTCCGCCGGTATTTCCTCTACCTACTTCTCCTTCTCGGATGCAGGCACGGTTCCTGAATTCTCGAGTACACTCAGGTGGATTTTTTGAACTCTTCGATCTTTATTTACTTTCATTATTGTTTCACTGTTTCAGAACTGTTTCAGATCACTGATACCATTACTTTCTCTGTAACTTAATGCAGGAGCGGAAGACGCATAAGACTGCGGCTCACTACAGGGCGGAGGCAGCGACTGGGGCGGGCGCTGCGGCTGCTCTGGCTGGACCGACCGGTGTAGTATTGGGTGATGTCCCGTTCCCACCAAGCATGGAGGTGGTGCTGGACCCTGGTCTAGGCTTAGGGTCGGGCATCATTCCTGCTGATCTTCGGCAGGCCCCTCCTCCGGTGCAGCTGGATCCTGAGCACACTACACATGTAAGTTATAAACCAAATTTACAAAGTTAAGAGCACTTTACCTTAATAGCCTTTTAATGCTTTGTTTGCAGGGTGCCGGCCCAGAAGGTACCAGGAGATTGCCAGCGATTCAGGTTTTGCCGATCATACATCAGTCGGCTCTACTCTGTATGTACATGAGCGAGGTAGTACGCCTCCTGTGTCTTATCCTTCTTCTTATTATTATTTTTATCTTTCCTTTACACGATCTTGTCTTCAGACCTGGAAAGATCAGTAGGCTGCGGAGGCATTAGTCTCGATCAGTCTAGCGCTGTGAGCCGGACTCCAGAGCGGAGGATAGAGCGGCTTCGGACGAGGTTGGAGGTGAGGGCATCCCGCTCGACTCTTCGCCGAGGAGGATTGAGGACGGCTCTTTCTTCCGATGATGCTCCCCGTCTCTCACCCCCTCAGGCGGCTTGCTGGTCCGAGCCGTAGGCAGCGGTAGTCCTGCTCCGTGTCTCAGCATTTTTTGGGATATTTTGAATTATTTTGAAATTAGTAGTTTTATATATTTTATTATTTTTAGGATGACTGTACAGTTATATCATTATTTTTCATGACATTATTTTAATATTTCATATAATATTTGCTTTTATTACATTGTCGTATTGTTCATGTTTTATAACTGTGAAGTTTATTCCTGCAAAAATAAACACAAATACAAAAACACGAAACAACGGTGTCCCATTTATTTACAAAAGCGGTTCCACCTTGTTAGTGGTTACATGGACCGATTTATTGTAAATGAAATTAAATAAATAAATGAAATAAATAAAGAATAAAATAATGGATTTAAATTAAAACAAAATACTACAAAAATCAATTACCAAATAACAGTGGATCGTAGTACTTACCTGACAGGGCGATTAACGCGGTCATAAAGATTCGACCGTCTAATTGTACTAACCGTCCTTCTTATTGATTAATGCGGGTTTAAATGCTCACCAAACCAAGCAGTCCAAACATGAATGCCTTTCCAACTACCCTTGACAGCGGACATCATGTCGGATAAAGACGATGCTTCGTTCATCGGTGCTTTTACCCTTCTATAAATGGGGGTTTCACTTCACATCTCCTTCACATCCAGCATTCAAAGCAAATCAGTTTCCTGAATAATCTTTTTTCATGGCCTTTAGAAACCAAGTCTCATCTTTCGTCCAATCCATCCGGGATCCATCTGCGGACGATTTATGGCAAGTTCCTCTTATGACCAACTCATTGGCTGAAATATTTCAAAGATTTAAAACCTGATTATGGTTGTCTTGTCTTGGCTTCGTTACTCATTTTAATTCCTAAACACCATGGTTTTTTCGGTTTGAAGACTCCTGGAAGTGACCTCCGACCTACGATGGAATGTGTGCCGGCTGTGATGGATCATCATCCTGATTAAGACGAGACTCCGGCTTTACCCCCAGGTCCTAGGTATGATCCAGCTGAGATTGCGGCCTTGTGTCCGGTTTACCTCCCTGATGGCATAAACATGGATCAAGGCCTTCCCTTTGAACCTTTCCCGAACAGGGTTTTGTCCACCAACCTAGATCTCCCTTGGATCCGAACTTGCTGCTTCTTGTTGTTGAATGTGTATGCCATGAAGAATCGTCAGCCCGGAATTGGAGATTTCCGACTTCTGACCGTTGTTCGTGACATGCAATTGCACCATCATACTGTCTTTATGATGGTCATGGGAGAAACGGGTCAGGGATATATGCCCTTCACATCACGACTTCAATGTTCATCATTGCGGTGGTCCACTGCTATTGCAGCCTGGGCTCTTGGACAAATTAAGCCTGATCCTCTGGTTCCCAGCTCGCTTAATTTCCAACCTTGGGGCTGGCCATTTTTTCAATCTCGGTCTCAGAGGGACGCTTCGATTTGAGGGGTAACCCTACTATTCAGGGGACTTGTCCCTTGGTGGTAGGATTAGGACTCGGTCACGACCGACAATTATGAATCTCAACTATGTGTTGTATGCCAGTCTTAGACCGTTTCCAATGGCCTATTTCCCCGATAGGATCACCGTTCAGTATGATATGATACAGCGTGTTCCCAGAGTCCAAACTTCTGAGAGTGGTTCTGATAACACCACATCTGACCATTTGGCTTGATGTTGGCGAAATCGAAACACCTGTATTTAGATGAAGGAACGAGGGGGGGGGGGGGGGGGGGGGGGTTAACAGGATTACCGTGACACAGGATACCGTGACACCCGCATATGCCAATTGGTTCTTTACCCCGTAATGATGTCATGCTCTATGAAGATTGGCCTCTGCTGATAGGCCCTACTAGAATAAATTGTTGTTTGTTGCTTTTCTTTTGTACTCAGGTCATGAACTTTTTATTTAAATGTATCTGCTTTCCTTTTGATTAATGATCCCGACAATTCTGTCTTTATTAATTCCTGTTTTCTGCAGATATGAATCAACAACAGACAACAAACTTTTTCTTTCGAAATTATTTGTTGCGTTAGTTATTTGGGCCTCCTGCCCTTGGGTTAATAAATGAAAGGCTCATAAGAAAGAGGTTATCATGCAAAAACAAAAGCTTACACTGGGAAATAACTAAGAATGGGGTGACTGTTTTATTACCTGCACAAATCTGACAAAAATAACAAATGTAACTTCTTTATGTATGCATGAACCTATATGTGTACTAAGGTTTATTCATAGTTTCATATTGATCTTTGCAGGGAAATCACTAAGAAAGTGGTGCTTGTCCCTCTGATCAATGTCTTAAAAGAATTCATAGTTTAGGCAGGATCAACAGCTGGAACATTTTAGACCAAATGAGTCGATCTTTGTTTAAATAAGCATGAGAGGAAGGTCTTGCATTTTTGCATTCTTCGACCAAAACCCCGGAACAAAAAGAAAAATTTTGAAATTCAAATCCTTTATTAATCTTACTTCTTTTCAACATTATACAGAAGTAAAACGAATTTATTTTAATACAATGGTCACTTACTCTAACTACTCGGTTTCCTGTTCTCCTTCGTGTCGAGTTGATGGTGTTGAGTAACCAATCACAAATTTGTCACGAACGCATGGCATGGATTCTGCATTTAAACTAAGCACCACACGTCAATCCCGAAAATTTTGTTTTATTTTCATTTTTATTCATGCTCTAACTTTTGCCTAGGTCGCCCTTTCGAGTTTTCAACCTAGCGAGCTTAATTTTTGCCTAAGCCACCCTTTCGGGTTTTCAACTTAGCTAAAAAAATTTTTTTATATTTTAATTATTTTGAATCGAATCATCATTTCAGGCATAGAATCTCTTCATTTTTTGGTCCTTGATTGACAATTCGGATTGACAGGCTCACCTTCCATGGTTGACTAATTCAGCGGCGCCTTTTGCTGCTAATAGCTTGTGAACTCTGAACGGTCCGTGCCAGTTGGGCTTAAATTTCCCACTAGGATGATTCTGGGCTTCGTGATCCAATAATCTGATCAAAACAAATCTTCATTCCTTAATGCCCTTGGATGTACTCGTTTATTGTAGAAACGAGCAATTCTTCTTTTTCTCATCTGATCCTGGAATCGAGCGTTCAGTCTTTTTCTGTCTAAGAGCACCAAATCTTCATACCTCTTCTTGACTCATTCTTCTTCGGTCAGACCAGCTTCTACCAAAACCCTGAGAGACTTCTTTTCGAGCTCCATCGGTAACACTGCCTCCATTCCGTATACACCGTATACAGTTTCAAAAGGAAGAAGAGGCTCCATTTATTGATTTGAATGTTAAGTGCCGATTGCCCCTAGAGCGCCGAAAGGAAGTTTTCTCAGCCAAGCTTCTGTACCTTCTTCCAACAACATCTTCGACAGGATTCTCTTGATTCTCCTTATGCGCCAAGCTTCTACTTGCCACCATTAGCCTGAGGGGCGCGGATAAGGAGAAGAATGGTTTGATGCTCAAACACTTATATTCATAAAAGCAATTGGCCAACATCTGCCTTTGAAAAATGAGAGAACCATTATCTGTAACTATGTGATGGGGAACACCATAAGCGACAGAAAATGTCTGTTCAATGAATCTAGCCAAATGTTGGCGGTAAGGGTTTTGTAGATTGAGCCTCAATCCATCTAGAGGAAGTAGCCAACTGCAACCAATAATATACTAATGGCCGTTCGATGCTGGCTTAGCGAGATTTTGCGGATGACGTCTATACCCCATGCAGAAAAAAGGCCAAGGGAAGGGAGTTGTCGGATGGAGTTAACAGCAGGTAAGTGGCTTTTTTATTGTCATGATATTGGCAAGCTTTGCAAATGACGCACATATGGAACACCAGTCACCTTCCATCTGCATCCAGAAATAGCCCTGCCTCATTGATTTTTTCTTTGCTAGGGCTTCATTGCCGCTTAGGGTGCAAGTACCGCAAGACTCCTTCATGCCAACTTCCTCATTATGTCTTCTCCCTCTCTCTTACTCACGCATCTCAGACAACATCCCATCCCAAGGCCTCTTTTGTAGAGTTCACCATCCGGCTAGAAACATAATTCAAGCCATTTCTGAGAAACCGCGCACGGTTCTTCTTTCGTCGCCATTCATCAGCAAAAAAGTACCGTCTTTCATATACCTCAGAAATATCCGCTTAAACCATGCGTTCTTCCTCTGTCTCTACCTGGTTCACAAAATGTTTCTTTATTAGCACGGATTTGGCTGCGGTAAATGATATAACGGGCTTCTTCGAAACTTTACTCAAGTCCTGCCAAGCCGATGCTAAGTTTGCCAAGGGCATTTGGAATTTCTGGTTATAGGTTTTTCTTCCTATGTGGAGTGAAAGTGATTCTTGTCAAATAGGCTGCCTTTTCAACAAGTAACTCAACATAGGGCTTCAATCCTTTCTTCCTCTACCTTCCATCTTCGTTTAGCATGTTCAATAACTAGTAACGATAATTTTCTTCCTATTAACCTCGGGGGGGGGGGGGGACCCCTTTCTTAGCACAAAGGATGCAAGGAAGAGCTCCATTCCCATGGATTCATCTTTCATATTT